GTTGGAGGCTCTGCAAGGACTGTGTGCCCAGGCCTGTGTCCCGGTCCCCGTAGATGATCAAAGTTGGGGTCTGCAGAGACATGCACCAAGATAGAACAGCTTCAGTGGTTGGATCCATGAGTGCGGGTAACCTACTGCACCCCCAATACCAGGTGAGGGGCAGCACGGCCCCCACATGCCCACAAGCACTATTCCTCCCCCCCACAGCTGGCTAGGAAGGTACCATATAGGAGACTGGGCTGAAGGGATTCAAGCTGTCACACAGGCTCCCTGCCCAAGGCCAAAGACATGCCCAGATGTATCCCGGCCCCTCAGACACCTTGCCCTCTTCTACGGAACTGTTCCAGCCCACACAGGCTAAGGTCAAATCAGGTGGGCCTCCCTGCAGTGTGCTAGCCCAATATGCCAGATGTGCTAAGGGTAGAAACCTGGCTGAGTCCCGCTGAAAGCCTAGCCTTATTGCCAGGCAGGACATCACCATCCACCAGCCCACAGACAAGCACAGACCCTGCCATTGCAAGCAATAGCTCCATCTCCTCCCTTGGCACTGCACCACTCCCTACCTGGACCTCCTGGTACTGCTGTGCAGGATGATCCTTGGTGCCCACAGGAGCGATGGGCACAAAGCCCTTCAACTCTGCCCCATGTGCCAGCAGGAAGGGGATAGAGTAGCGACCACTCATGGACGGGCTGACCAGGACCGGCTTGTGGATGCTCAGCTCCTTCAGGACACGCTGCAGGAGGCCCACCCGGCCCTGCTCCGTGGAGACGGCATCAGATCGCGGGGAGCTACCAAAGCCTGTCAGGGAGGAGAAATGCCCCAAGAATGCAGGCTGGAGCCAGCATCTTGGCAAGCCAAATTCCTAAGCCACTGGATGGCTTCTCCTGCCAAGCTTCCCACCCCATGCAATCCAGCGGAGGTTTACTCTAGAACCAACACAATGACAATGGACCCACTGCTCTTGGGGTGAGGGGCAGGCTGTGGGCACCTGGGCACTACCCCTAGCTGAAGTCCTGGGCACAGGGATGTGAGCCTTGCTAACATAACCTGCTGGCTTCCCCTCCTGCCAAGTACTGGTAACCCGGGAATTTGCTGCAAGAGGCACTGTGCCACCACTAGGAGGTAGGTGCATGACTGACACTCCCAGCTGGCAGGTCTCTGGCAAATTAGTAGGTGCCCTGGTTCTGGATGCTCCACATCACATTGGCAAGGGTTGTCAGGTCTGTAGAACAACATGAACAGAACCATGAAAGCCAAAGGCCCAGGCTTTCACCTGCTGTGCACAGGCAACACCTGCCGAGGGGGCTGTCTGCACCACAGGACTTGGGATTCTGTGGAATGGGCCAAAGGAGAACAGACTCACAGAAAAGTGGGACTGGGAGGGTACTCACAAGGTCACATCCAGTTCAGGCCCTGCTCAGGCAGGATCAGCCCTGCCCAAGCCATCCCAGATGAGCATTTGACTAAGTCACCCCTCAAACCTTTCAAGGCCGGGGAATCACACAGCCCCTCCAGCACACTCGTGCTTAAAACCCCAGTGCTGTGCAGTCACTTCTGTGCACACCTGGTGGTGAGGGGAGCCCAGCTACAAGCAGACATCAACAAGGCGAGGTCAGTGGCACATGCCTACCAGGAAGGTCAATGGCAATGGGACGATAGCCTTCTTCTGAGAGCAGAGCCAGTGTCCCCAGGTCCTCCCACGTCTTGGATGTGAAAGCCTGGCCATGTAGGAAGATCACATCCAGCCTGCAGGGGACAGACGGCAGCTAGAGGTGTAAGAGACACCTGGCAGAGCTTCTGCCCTTCTTCCCCTCCCCCACCAGCCCAGAGCACTCAAATTGATAAGTTATACATACAGGAGTTGCTTTCCCCCGCAACTACAGAAATGCAGCCACCTCTGGGGTGGAACAAAGAAGCTAAGGGCTCACAGATACAGCATAAGACAAGAAGTGAGGAGTAATCCTTCCCCTTTCTACCCTCTGTATCAGTTATCCCTGGGCAGGCTGTACAGGCAGGCAGACTAGCTGGGGGAGACGGCATGAGGTAACATCCCTGGTCTTGGAAGAAGCAGTACAGGTGTCAGAGTGGTCAGGGCCTTGGCTTCATGGTTCAGGATGATAGCACAGCAGCCCCTCCCACCCCCCAGCAGCTCAGCTCACATGTCCCATCTCAGCACCTCATGGGCCTCTGGCATTTAAACTAGAAAGCAGCACCAGCATCTGGGTGTGTCTCCCGTCTGCCAGGCAAGCCTAAGCCTGCTTTCCCAGATCCAGAGCCAAGCCCAAGGCACCCCAGCTAAAGCACCTGATTTGTCGTCTGTGACAGGGCCAGACACAGACTTGTAGTGCATGCAGGCTGACCCCAACCAAAGCCCCCAACATGGCTGTGGTGGTGAGGACACTAACCCACCTTTTTGGGCTGGGAGTTCCAGCTTTCTGGAGCAGGAAGGCTTCCCTGTACAGGATGGGTGGGTCTCCTTCTATTGTCCCAGTTAGGACAGTGGTGTTGGCATCTTGCTGGCTTCTCTCTTCCATGGCCAAGGGCTTGGAGTCATCTAGGCGTGCTGTGAACCTCTCATGCTGGATGGCCGGAAGCAACAGATAGAGGACAAAGGTAACCAGGACTCCAAGGACCAGCAGCCCCAGCCTGTTGCGGATCAAAGTCATAGTCATCCTTTCTGAAAGAGGGGCAGAGACAGAAGGTCAACAGCAGAGCTCCATGTGGCTGGTCAGACACCATGGGGGATGGCTCCACCACTGGATAGGGCACGGCAGAGATTCACACCTCTAGAAGGATCAGGGATGGACATGCACAGAAGACACAGCCCTGTTCAACCCCAGAGCAGTCTCCCAGTAAGGCACAGTTCTCCCCACACCCCAGGGCACATGGAGGGAACCAAGATGCATGCTCTTTGACCCCTGGCATCTCACAGGATCATGGGAAAGTAAGGCTGGAAGGGACCTCAAAAGGTCATGGAGTCCAGCCCCCTGCTCAGGGCAGATCATCCCTGACTAAATCATCTCAGCCAAGTGTCTGTCCAACTTCCTCTTTGAAATTCCAGGAATGGAGATCCCACAGCATCTCTAGGTGTTTTGTTCCAATGCTTCACCCCACCTCAGTCAGAAAGTCCCTCATCTCCATCCTCAGTTTTCCCCTGCTGAAGCTTGAGGCCACTGCTCAAGTCCTGTCCCCTATGGCTCTTATGCATTATCACAAGCTAGAAGACACCTTGGAGGACAGCAAAAGGCAGGGTAGACAGTCACTGGGACAAGACATTCCAGTCCCAGCTGATCCAGCCAGAGATCAGGGGGCACTTGCTAGGCCCTGCCAGAACCAGAAGACAGAGCTGTGGAAACCCAGCACAGCATCACACCCCCATTGGCCACCCACGACAATGCAATTCACTGTATGCCAGTGTAGAGGAGCCCCAGGCAGAACTTCCTGGAGGTGAGCATAGTGGAAGCACTACAGTCTTTGGCACGATAGAGGGCTCCCCATCCCCCAAAAGAGCAGAGGTGGGGGAAGGCCACATTCAGCCCCACAGTCCAAGACCTTTTTCACAGCTCATTCCTTCAGGATTACAAGGAGAAATCAGCCAGTACCTACTACCTGGTCTAAGGCCTCTACAATGAGAGGGGAATTCATCTTGCAGATGAATGGCATAGCAGGTTGCTTAGTAGATGCCACCTTGTTGCACTTAGTGGTTTCCAGACAGCACAGACAAACCTAGCACCCTGCAGGTGGTAGGTGAGGGAGCCCAGTACCCTCAAGCTCTCTGCCCCAAGACAGAACTGCTATCACAGGGCAAGAAAAAGTTGTCAGATGCCTGTGGCAACAACATGCCAGTCCACCACAGGGCTGGCCAATGCAGAGCTTTGTCCCCGGAGACACTGGGTATGCACTCTGCACAACTGGCCAGCTGTGCAGGGCTCGGAGACACCTCATCTTGTGGTGTCGTGACAGTGGTAGCTGGGCACAATCACACCCACCCACTCTCTGAACAGGGACCCACCTCCCTAAAGGCACCAGCCAGCACAGCAGATTTGCCAACTTGAGCTGCACTGTTATCAAGGCATGATGAAACAGGGATTGGTATCTATCTGACCCAGGAGAGCCCCAAAACACTTCCCAGAATGACCAGAAGCTTACTTAACCCACCACTGGGGTGGAACAACAGCCGCTTGACTCTGCACAGCAGCCCTACCTGTACCGCAGTAGCGCCAGACCAGGACCCGGCCCAGCTAGTATCATACAGAGGACAAGCCGACTGCCCCTGCTCTAAGGAACAGACAGTCCAAGTCACCCACGCGCAGCGAGAGGGGCCGGCAGAACCGGAAAGTGGGAGGCTCGAGGCAGCAAGGAAGGAGCTGCGGGGATGCTCCCACCTCCATCCAACCTTCAGAGCTCCCTGGACCAGCTCGGGATGCCCTTTGGTGGCTACACGGTGAGCCCACCCCAGGCCAGCTGCCCCGCACAACACAGGACCCTTAAGGCTACCGGTGCCCTGAACCTTGCCCTTGGCCCAAGCCTCCTGCGGCTGCCAGGTGCTGCCCCCCGGCGCC